CCATGCCCCAAACCAAGTATTTCTGGCAATAAAGCACTACAGTGCTTCTGTTTTTCTGAATGCTAGAGCTCGCTTATTGCCCAGTCCAGCACAGTGAATGAAACATAATTACAGAATGCACTGGAACTGTTAAATTTCCTACTTTTGTGAAGTCTCAAATGAATTTGTGCATGTGCTAACAACAAAAACAATTCTAATGTTATTATTTACACATAATAAGCAAAGACTAGATATGTGTACTTCAAAAGAGCTGTCTTAAATTCACAACGAAGACTAAAGTAATGCCACACAGACTTGCATAAGAATCTTAAATTCCTAAGCTGCATTTTTCAGCTCCTAGTGCATGCAAATACCAAGGAAAGGCATTCCTGAAACTCATAATTCTTTTTAACAGTTCTGACACTCCTGGTTTAAAACCTTCTGATTCAAGGACACTCCTAGCAGGAAATAGTTTGCTTTTCATTTGGTAGCATAATGGATCAAGTGATCTCCAACTTATAAAATGCTAGAACTCACGCCATCAACTTTATCATCTACTATTTACTCAGTACTCACCCAGTTAACCTTACTCTGCAAACATACTTCAGTGCTGCCAGGTAACTCAGTCTGAACGTTTAATGCAATGGCTGATGCTGGTGAAGATAAAACATTAAGGAAAAATAATTTCAACAGACTCCACATAACTTACCACAAGAACATTCCTGACTGCAAAGAGATTACGTGGGCATTTATTCACAACCTAAAAGGTCTAGCTCATCACAAGACCCCTTTTCCACTTCTTGCAAAAATTTTATAGAAAGTCAAAATTTATCACATCACTTAGATTCAGTCCACATCAGTCAGAAAATTTCTAACTTAACAATAACAACAGATTTAATACTGCAATATCTAGAAGGCACATAGAAATTTAAAAAAAATAAATAAAATGAAAATATTCTCACTTGACATAACTATTGCATGATTTTATTTTTCTTAACCTTTTTTGGAATTTTTTGTTTTAAACTTATATGAAGGCTAGATAAGAACAGAGAAGTGCAGCGCATTTGGCTCGCAATAAAACCTAAAAAATCTATTTGTTAAATTATGTGTACTTTATGTTTTCAATAGCAGGTGTCAACAAACCCAAGAAATCCAAATTTAACAGAGAAGCCTGATCCAGCTTTCTGAAGCCAGATTTCAGATGCCAAGCTAGAAGAACAGCACCAAAGAGTTCTGCATAACCCTGAGGTTTAAATTCTGATTTTATCACAGAGATAATGTGATAAGATCAATACATGGCAAGATATTTATTCACCACTATAGTTTGAACAAAGTCCTCAAAAAAAACAAACCCAAACCAAACCAAAACAAACCAAGTCACCTTACAAGTCCTTGTTATTTCATTAAACATAACCAAAACTTTGGCAAACTGAACTGTACCTTAGCCATGCTACTCACCTTGTTTAGAAGACAGGTGATGCACAGGTCGTGCTGGCTGAAGGGATTTGCCAATAAACTTTTTTGCTTCTGCAACATTTTGAAACATTGCACTTCAAAAAAAGCAGCTGAAATTATTAGAGACTGTTCAGTTTAAGAAAAGGATGTTAAGGAAGAAGAGCAGTCTACCTACCACTCGTTAGCTGCATTGGACAAGGCAATACACTACTGCATCGGGGCAGGAAAAAGCAGAAAAGGTCTGATGCAGAAATTTTGTGATATGATTGAATATGCTGGATAAAATGTGCATGAAGACAGAATCAGACACCTCTCTCATTTTTCCTTCCAACTGAGCTACCCTATAGCTTCCTCTCCAAAAAATTTTTTTCCCTGAATATCTGTGTGTACATTTGGAGCAAGGAGATGGGGACATGTGATGGAAATGAAGGTGTTTGCTAACAATTTAATTCAATGGGTTTTTAATTAATTAACATCAGCGTACCTCTTATATTCTGCTGTCTGGATAGGAGTTCTCTTACATACATATATAAACCTACAGAATTGTTTTTTAATATCTACTTTACTTACATTAATTCAGTTTTGTACCTTCCCACTCAGTTTAGCTACTACAGAAGCACCAAAAACTGCAAAGGTGATGGTGGGCAGACAAATTTCCCACTTTAAGTAAATAATCAGTTGTTAGATGTAACATCTATATTTGTATATTTGTAACATCTATATCTTAATATATCACCTTCCCACTTCCATCTCCTTTGTCATCTGGGAGATTTTATGATTTGAAGGAACTTCAGCTTCTTTTAGAGAAAAAGAATAATAGAAACAACTATGAACACAATAAAAATGATATTGAAATTCTATTTTCCCTAGGAAACTTTATGAGACAAGGGAATAATTGTTATAACGAAAAAAAGAATCAAAAGAAACGATCATGACTGCAAGAGTTACAACTACATTATCCATTTTCAGCAGGGAACAGGAAAAGACAAGTTAGGCTTTTTGAAATATGCCCAGTATCACACCCCACTTCAACTGGTCTTTGCATTATAGAAAGAAAACCAAAAATCACCTGCAAATTTACTATACTATAATTTTTTGAACACTAAACTTCTAATATAGTCAAGTAACAATTTTGCAACACATGAAGTTTGAATCCACTCAGGCCTAGAAACCAACTGTTAAATGGCTACTGTCTGAATTAAAACAACTTAACTAAAGTTAGAAAAAAATTCTGGTTTGATTCCTTGCTTTTTTTACCTGCTCATCTTAAAAAAGGAAGATTTGAAAGCTGTAGTCAAAAGCAGCAATGAAAATTCCTGCAGCTCAGTTAACCAAGACTACTGACATGGATGCCATATTTCATTTTACCCAGATTAGGAATGCTTCTTTAAACCATATTTATAATAAATTTCCGCATAGAGCGAGGTAGTAATAATACAGATTTGCATTGGAAGAGTAAAAAAAAAAAAAAAAGGGGTGGGCAATTTTCCGCTATACCCTGATTGCAAATGATATGCATGCTTTTTAAAAAACGGGAAAAACTGTTTAAGAGGCTAGCTAGCTTCTAGAATGCAGCATCTGTATTTTTATAGCATTCTGACAATAAAAAAAGCTGTGTGGTGACAGTAAAACAACATATTTTGCCCCACCCCGCTGGGAAAAGGCTAGAAAAGGTCGCAACAAGTTATCTAGCCCAATCTCCTTGTTCATGGAGTGTTCTGACTAGTATCAAGAAAAGTAGAGAAAGAATAGTTTAAATAGCGGGGAAATAAACTGCCTCCATGAGACACTAGTGCAGCGGGGGAAGCATCCCAAGACTTCCCCCTTATAAAGACCACATTGCTTCTGGGAGTTATTACCATGGGAGACTTGCCCAGAGGAGGGAATCCCTCTGGCACCAGCAAACAGGCCCAGCAGCAGTTCTGTGGGACCCAGGTTTTTTTAGTATCTCAACAAGTTGGACATTGACAGCAGCCCGCATCTTACGAGGGCCCGCCTCAAGTGTTCTTTGGAAGACTCTCTCCTGAATGCGTGGAAAGAGAACTGACGCAATATTGGTGAAATATCCCCCGAAACTGACCGTGTCCCCCTCGCCCAAACTGGCACCGCACCCGGAGCCCCACAGCCCCCGAGAAACAAAACCTCCTCGCCCCCTCCTTTGGGCCGGGGGGTCCCCAGCCCACCTCGACCGTCGGCAGCGCCCCTGCCCCCACGACCGCGGCGGGCTCCGCGGCGCTGGCGGCCGGTGGCGCTTGTGGCGGTGCCTCCCTCACGCCGGCGGGGCGGCGGCCCTCGCGCGGGGGCTCGGCGCGGCCGTGGCGGGCCGGCGCCGTTGAACGTCGCCCTCGAGGGAGGCGCTGCGGGGCCGGGGGAGCCTCGGCCCGAGGAGCGGGGAGAGCGAGGGGGGTGCGGGGGCCCGGCTCCCCCGGGGTCGGGTCTGAGAGGGGCTGGAAATGAGTGAAGGTGGTGTCCTCCGCTGGCCCGCAAAGTGAGTCATGTTCTGTCAGAAGACAGGAGAAAATAAGCGACTTTTGAACACAACTGTGGACCTCCACAGCTAACCTCGTCCAGAAAGAAAAGGGAAATCCACAGGCCTTGGAAAGCTGTCACTGAGTCAGAAAACTGACCTCGCCAACCGGCCCCATGGCACAGACCAGTGACATGGGCAGGAGGGACCAGAGAACGGCCTCTCAGCAGCAGAGGGGATGGCATCCTGCGTGCTTTGGAAATTCAAGCGTATTTTATCTCACAATATGTAATCAACAAAGAGTATGGCGTAATAAACACTTGAAGAAAAGCACCAAGATCAGTGTTTACAAAGCCATAGTGTTGTCTACTCTCTTACATGGTTCCGAATCATGGGTCATCTACTGCCACCACCTGCGTCTCCTAGAACGCTTCCATCAACGCTGCCTCCGTACAATCCTAAACATCCACTGGTCAGATTATGTGACCAATACATCTGTTCTAGAGCAAGCAGCAGTCACAAGTATTTGAGGCCATGTTGCTGAGAACGCAGCTGTGTTGGGCAGGGCACGTCTCAAGGATGAAGGACCACCACCTCCCTAAGATCCTGCTCTATGGTGAACTTGCCACTGGCTGCTGCATGAGAGGGCCCCGAAGAAAAGATACAAGGACTCCCTGAAACAACATCTCAGCCTTGGCCATATTGATCCCCATAACTGGTCTACTCTTGCCTCAAATCGGGAGGCCTAGAGACACACCATCTATAACGCAGCTGTCTCCTTTAAGAACACACGCAGGATCACTCTCGAGGAGAAAAGGCAACGCAGAAAGAACTGTGTATTGCAGAATATACCATCTAAGGAGTCTTTCTGCTGTACCTTTTGCAATCAGACATGTCTGTCACGTATTGGCCTCATAAGCCACCAGCGTGCCTGTAGCAAATGTGGATAGAGCCTTCCCAAATCTTCGTTCTCGAAATCTAGCCATGATGATGATGATGATGATGATGTAATCAACAATTAACAATGGAAACACCGTGCTGACTCCCAAAGGAGCAGACTACAATTTCCTGGTGTTAGTTTGCTAGATTCAGTAGTCATCTTACTTAAGTACACAACGTTAATTAAAGTCCTTAACTTTTTTATTAATTTTTTTAATAAGTATTTAATATCACCTGCTAGGGAGTCCGGAAGTACTGTACAGAACAGGTAGGTAACATCAAGCACATAACTATATAAATAGCAAGTACTTAATTATTAATATTCAACATTAAGATGTGCAGTCCTGGCTAGTTTATAAAGACTGTTTTATTTCATCAGGCATATTGGTTCTTTGCTGCAGTCTCTGAATTTTATTAACTTAGGTACGCAGAGTTGAAACTGTCCTTGAAATAGCGGCTATTATATACAGATGTCATGCTCCTATAGTCGTCTCTCCTAACATCATCTTCCAGTTGGTTTCCTCAACTGTTCGCGCATGGTGTGCTATCACATTCTTTTTGCAGACACTGATGTAGCACATCTGCATGCTCACTGACCCACTTGCTGCCATTTAAGGTCCTGTTTAAAGTAATTTCTCCCAAGTGAGTTAGTTTATACTCAGACATATCCTGTTTCTTCTAAGCCAGCATCTATTCTCACAAGATTGTCATGTAAAACAGTTACTCCCCTATTCATGTTTTAGCTAAATCAGAACTGATTATCAATTATTAATATGTAAGTGCACATAAATATTAATGTTGGCTGCTACTCCAGAACTGTTACTGATGGGAAAGTCAATGGGGCAACTAAGATAAAGGTATGTTTTTTCATGGGACTGTTGTGCTTTTTCAAAGAAGCATGTCAGGTACTGCAAACCAGATTTACACCAGATCAACACAAGCCTTCTTGACTTACTGAAATGGTATCACAGAGACGTAGAATTACATATCCTTCCAGTATTTTTACAGATTTAAATATGCTAAGGATGAACTAAACAGTAAAAATCCTCACTTGTGTTTTTCGTAGGGGCTGTAAACTGGGCTGCTGCTTTTAATCTGTAAGGAAAAGAGAAGGGACAGGAGCAGAAATAGGGCAAGAGGAAAAAAATGGTGTGTGCCAGTTACTTTGAAAGCTTGTTGCTCCTAGGCCTGCTGGGAAGACGGGAATATTAGGGCAAGTAATGGCTGGTTTTTGAGGCACTGACTGTCCCAGCAGGAATAGTTATCACCTCACATGCTGCCGCCCATGAGTTGGCAATACCAGCAGCAGCAGTGAGGCTTTCCAGCCTCTGGCAGAGGAAGACGGAGTGCTGGACTGCAGCCACTTCACAGATCCCAGCAACCTGCTGTCTTCAGCAACTTTGCCTGTGCCTAGAGAGAATTGTGCTTCCGATTGTGGGAAATGAAAACATAAAGTGGAAAAAACTTTAGCTTTTATCAATTGTCTCCCAGTTTGCTTGGTGCTGGTAATTACACTACTGAAAATTTCTCCTTCATTTGGTATTGTCTATGTTCTTACATTACATGATGATAATCTAGTGCTCTCTCAAATACTTGATATATACAGTAATTATTTTGAAGGGCCAATGACAGGTCTAGCCAAGAGAGATTTACTGTATTTAGCGAAATATAAATATTAAAGGTTTAATAGATGTGTGAACAAAATCCATATATACATAGAAAAAACTCACCCCCAAACCAAATGTCTTTTTCTATTTGGTTTCTTTTTATTATTCTGATTGTGCTCCTAAAGGCCGTAGATTGCAGAAAGCCACAGAGTTACACTCCCTGTAGTAGATTTGGTTCAGGAAAGCAGAAAACATTTATGAAAGACAATATCAATATTGCATGTGTAAAAAATGACCAATTGCACATCTAAATGAGCGTGTAATTGTAATTGCACATGATTTTAGTTTTGTAGTGGATGGCACTTAACAGCAAAGTAATGGGTTTGAGCTGAAATGAAAGGACTCTTGGGTCAGCCTGAGGGCAGACTTGTAGTGGCAAGATTAAAAAGCCATTTTCTCTATAATTTGTTATTCAGTTGTGCAGCCAAATGTAATCAGCCTATTTGCATATGTAATTGTGATTTATTTACGAGCACTTTTTTGGGAAACTTTTTTTTTCCTAAAGCCACTTTTAAAGTAATTTCATCACAAAGCAAAACCAAACATTATTTCCAATGTTATATGCTTTATTAAGTCAATCAACAGGACACTGAGAGACAAGAATGTACTTGTAAATGTACATATGTGCACACAGAATATTATAGTTGTACTTTTGTGAAGTGGCTGCTTTCAGCTAAACAAGTGACTTGTCCTGGGGAGGCAGCCCAGGGAAAGAATGCAAAAGTTTTTATCCCCTGATTGTTCCTAAAGTTGAGCTGTTTAATATATTAATATTCTTCTTTCAATAGATTTGAGAATTCAGAATATTAATCATGGGTTTTAATCTTGTTCTTTTTGACTACAGAAACTGTTGAATTAAAAATGGGAAGTTAGTACTGTATTTGGTGCTTACCACATGTAACTAAATAGAGGCTCAAATGTTTATGATCAGCATATAATACTACATACATTCATATATCAAATATATTTTCTTCACATACAAAAATGCTTTCAAGTCTATCAACTGTCATGCTTCTCCTGAATTAGGATTTTGTATTTTCCTTTAAAATTAATTTTCTGGGATCATTAATTGTAACAGACTCTCAACATTTTCCTTTAATTTCTGAGTTTTTTGAATGTGGAGAAAATCTTAACAACATGGATCTAAGGCACCATACAAGTATAAAAAAAATCCCTAAATGACAGATAAAATTAATTTTATAAATAAATATATAAAAGACCTATGAAAACTAAACATTCATTATTTTGGGGGAGGTTCATCTCTCATTATGGAGGGGTGGCAATACTGAATTGCAGAGGTTAATTATTGCACCTGAACTGAACAGTGCATTCAGGATGCACTGAATATTCTTAATAACTGCAGACACTGAACATCAGCATTTCAACTGACCCTGTTTTATAGGCTTTGAAACACCAAACACCAGCTGCACATCCTGCTTCTTGAAAGAGATCCCAGAAGCCACTGGCAGGAAGATTAAAAGGCAGGAAGGCCTATGAAACCTGTAGGCTCTGCCATGTCACAGGGTAGCAGCTCAGGCACTGCTCCCTTCTCAGTGTTGCCCCTTTTTTGATGCACAAAACTGTACCTCTGTTGAAGGAACTGCCATGTGGAGGGCATGGCTCAGATGCAGAGCTTTAGTTTGTTATATTGCATTGGATAGTGGAAGAAGATGCCATGGGACAGTGGATCCCTAGAGAAGGAAAACTGTAAGACTGCAGCTAACAGCTTGATGAACTCAGTATATGAAGCAGGGTATCAGAAAGTATCAAAGTACCTGCTGTTTGCTTATTTTTGTTATTAACAAAAGGCGTAAGAGATTAACAAAGGCATAAGAGAAAGAAGTTAAGATTTGTGGTCCTGCATAGAATCAATCAATAGAAATTCATCCACATCATTATCCAGAACAAAGTTTCATAATCTATATGCACATGCACATAGTAACAGATGAATTAAACAAACAAAACACTAAACCCCCTCCCCACATATAGTTTTTTGTGTGTTTTTAGATATGTACAGGGAAAGAGACTCATGCATTTAATAATTAATAATAATCCTAGAAGAGTTCAATTTGCTTTGGGAGACTGAAATTCGTGGCTTAATACATTTAGTGAAAGTTT